CCTAAGTCTCTTTGAAAATGAATAGAATCTGTAGGCTGGAGGCAAATGAACTATACTTCATCACTGGATTCCAGTTTATAAAGTTCTTTCCAACAGGGGTAATTGTGAACAATTGTAAAACCACAGTATCTGTACCTGGAATAAAACAATGAGTTACATAAGTCGTAGATGGTAGGAACCAGGTCTATCACTGCTGTATTGGGAGGTTACAAATTAGCAAGGGGAGAAGGGTAGAAAGATTCATGTGGTGAAGATTCAGAGGTGAAAACATCAATGTAAACTTATGTTTAGTTTAATACAGGTAATACAGTTCCACATCAAAACCTTTGTAATTGGGTGTGTATAGGTAGGTGACATACACACATATACTACCTAGCATTGCTAATGAGGGACAAGACACAGTGTGCTCATTCAGCAGCCAGATATAAGTTTTCCTACCATTCTGAAATGAATCGGGCTCTTTGAAGACTTTGTCCCAGTCTGATACTAGAACTGGGACAGTAAATATATGATCCAGGATAACCTTGAAGTATCAGAAAGTAAGTACTAAAAAAACAAACAAACAAACAAACAAAAAAAACACAGAACTGAAATATGTAAAAAAAAAAAAAAAAAAAAAAAAAAATTGGAGCCAATAAAAAGAGCTACCGGAGCAGTGTGAAGAAGAAGAGGCGAGAGCAACCCCCGGACCAACCAAAGCCCACACGCCGCTGCCCACGCGCCACTGCATCCCGCGCTCAGCGCCTACGTCCCACCGCCGTCGCCACCATGCCCAAGTGAAAGGCTGAAGGGGATGCTAAAGGAGATAAAGCCAAGGTGAAGGACGAACCACAGAGAAGATCCGCGAGGTTGTCTGCTAAACCTGCTCCTCCAAAGCCACAGCCCAAGCCTAAAAAGGCCCCTGCAAAGAAGGGAGAGAAGGTACCCAAAGGGAAAAAGGGAAAAGCTGATGCTGGCAAAGAAGGGAATAACCCTGCAGAAAATGGAGATGCCAAAACAGACCAGGCACAGAAAGCCGAAGGTGCTGGAGATGCCAAGTGAAGTGTGTGCACTTTTGATAACTGTGTACTTCTGGTGACTGTACAGTTTGAAATACTATTTTTTATCAAGTTTTATAAAAATGCAGAATTTGTTTTATTTTATTTTATTTTATTTTTTAAAGCTATGTTGTTAGCACACAGAACACTTCATTGTTGTTTTGGGGGAAGGGGCATATGTCACTAATAGAATGTCTCCAAAGCTGGATTGATGTGGGGAAACACCTTTCCCTTCTAGTTTTGAGAGAATTCCTCTTGGCTCCCAGGAGGAGGGATTCCCTGACTGTGACACACATGGCCACCTTGGCACACAAAAGCCTTGGTATGGAAACACAAATTCGCTTTCATGTCCTCTTCTCCCGTTCCATCTTTCAGCATAGACTTAACTCCCTTAAGCCCAGGCATCTGTTGGGACCTGACCCCCAGTCATTGGTTACCAGTGTCAGGCAATCTGGACTTGCCAGTGATGCCACTGAGACGGCACCTGTCAAAAGAGCAGTGATTCCATTTCTAGATTGTGGATCTTCAGATGAATTCTGCCATTTTCATTTCACTTCTTGAAAGTCAGGGTCGGCTCGTGAAAAGTTGTTAAACAACATGCTAAATGTGAAATGTCAACCCTCACTCTAAACTTTCCCTGTTCAGAGCATCAGATGAAGACTTTGTTGGGTTTTATAGTGGCTTTCTGATTTTTGGTAGTCCATCAAAGAAGGGAGTTTGAAAGTTGTTGTATACTGTTAATGATCGTCTGCCCATGTCCTGCCTGAAATACCATGATTGTTTATGGAAAGTATCTTTAATAAAACTGGATACAGTTTGGCTTGGAAAAAAAAAAAAAAAAAGAGCTACCAATGACCAACACAGGAATGAATTGTGCAACATAATGCTGTAGTGTTTAATGCTAACTAAAGCTTCAGGTAATTATCTAGGTGTCTATATTTGTATATGTAGGTGAATAAGCAAATAAAGTTGAATAGAAATCTCCTATGCAAAAGAATTCCAAATAATTGATGTAGATGCTCAGCCATCAGGAAGGCGGAGCTAACTCCTCACTCCGTGAGTATGGGCTTTACATTTGTGTAAACTTATTTATCATATTTTTTCTTGTGCTGTGGTTGTGTCCTGGGTTCCTTCTCTAAAATGCTGTTCACCTTAGACCAGGAAAAAAAAAGCAACATTACAGACTCTGTTTCAATTCATAGCTAAAAATTTTTAAAAGAGTGACTTTGTAAAAATATGTTCCAATGGCAAATTGATTCATTGTGACTGGATCCCTTATTCCAAGTACTTCTTGTCTTTATTTTGTTCCAGTGCCTACCTTTCAGCCGTACTACACCAGAATCAAACATTGGCCACTGGGAAAAAATATTCAAAGAAAGAAAGAATGTGAACCAAACTTGCGACCATCATGATTCAATGTTGCACCACAACGTTTTCTAAAACAGAAGAGTGTAAAAGGATATTCAAAGTCAATCTCCTCGAAGAGGCTTTGCAGACAATGAGGAAACCAGAGAAACGAAAATGGCAGGAGATTCTCTGGGAGATTTTAGATGTTTCTATGTTTTATGGGGAAGAATCACTTTACCTTTTAAAGAATCACAAAGAATTATTGGAAACCCAAACTCTGGAATGTTTCACAAATTTAGTTGAACTTGTATGTAATTCTGTCTATATAGCTAGCCATGAAGTTGATGATTTTTAAAACATCTGTGCCTTATTTGTGTAATAAAATATACAATGAATAATTATCCCTCATAGGAAAACATGTTAGACCTTGTGAAAGGAAAATAAATCTTGGGGACCCAAAATCACTAAGCTAAAGGGAAAAGTCAAACTGGGAATTGCTTAGGGCAAATCTCCCTCCCGTTCTATTCAAAGTCACCATCTGCTCATTGAGATAAATGCATATCTGATTGCCTCATTTGGAAAGGGTAATCGGCAACTCAAAAGAGTGAAACCATTCATCTTTATCTACCTACGGAAGCCCCCTGTCTGGCCTTCTCTTCAAGTTGTCTCACCTTTCAGGACTGAACTGAACCAATGTACATCCTCCACATAGTGACTGATGTCTCATGTCTCCCTGAAATGTATAAAACCAAGCCATGCTCCTACCACCTGGGGCACGTGTTGTCCAGACCTCATGAGGATGCATCACAGGTGCAGGCATCCTCAAACTTGGCAAAATGAACTCCTTAAAAAATCTGAGACCTGTCTCAGATTTTCAGGGTTCATACATGTAATGTAGGATGTTAATGTTGGTAAAACAGACATTATTCTATCTACTATTACAACAATACAGCCCATTAGCCTTAGACCTTCTCCACAAAATAAAAAATGTTGATGAGGTACAAATAATATATATAAACTTAAATAATGTTGCAAATTTTAATATGCCTACTTTTCATTTTTAAATACTATTTTGACTACTATAACACTGTAAGAAAAATGAGTAGTTAAAACATGAATAAAAGTGTTTACAGGGGGTGGACATGTTTCCTCCAGCCTCAGGCTTGGGGTGACTTGAAAGGCACCTGCCCATCCCCAGCTTTCATCCCAGCTGTCCTGATGGTGGCTCTAAGCATTTCTCCTTTCTCTATATGAAGATCAAACTCCAGAAACAAATCCAAATCTTACAATATGTTGTGACACACTATGATGATGAACAGCCAAAGCCTCAAGCAAGGGATGCTTTTGAAAACAAGACTTATAGAACATAATGTGTGGAAGTACAGCCAGTGTCGGAGTTGCTCCCTCTGCATATGGGGAGCAGACAGGAAGCTTTTGCCTCACCTTCCTCAAATGGCCTGCAGCCACATCTCCCCAGGTCAGACTTGAGGAGAATGAAACTTTGGTCTTCACTGTGGACATGCTACCAAGGGCACCAACGCCATGGTCTCTCCTCGGGTGGGTCTTGATCAGCCTGCTGCAGGCACTGGGCCCTGGTTCTGGGGGTGAGAATACACCCTGGGCTTCCACTGCATGGCTGGCACAGTGGGCATTCAGGTGCCTATTTGGGGACTGCTATGGAGTCCTGTGCCAGATGCAGTGGTGCACAGCTGGGAGCCAAGGGTCCCTGCTTCTGCTGGAGAATCTGGGCAGATGTAAAGGGTTAAAGTTAGGGGTAGGGTTAGGATTAGAGGTTAAGGTTAGGGTTGGTGTCGGAGTTTGGGGGTCAGGGTCAAGGGTCAGGGCTAAAGAGTAGGGTTAGGGATTGGGGTAGGGTTAGGGTTAGGGTCAGGGGGTTAGGGTTTAGGGTTAGAGGTTAAGGTGGGGGTAGGGGTGGGGGTGAAGGTGAGGGTAATAAGCAGATTAGTAAAAACAATTCTGCTTCACTTCAATAATAACCTTCTCCAACTCATTTTGTCTCAACAAACATTTTTCCAGCAGAAGAATCCCAGGCTTCTTAAAGCATGGCAAACACCTATAATCCCAGCTACTCAGGAGGCTGAAGAATCGCTTGAACCTGGGAGGTGAAGGAAGCAATAAGCCTAGATCACACCACTTCACTCCAGCCTGGGCAACAGAGCAAGATGCTATCTCAAAAAAAGAAAAGAAAAGAATTAGCATCGTTTTGTCACCAGAAAAGAGGTCTTGTCCCAGACCCCAACAACGGGTTTTTGGATCTCACACGAGATGGAATTTATGGCGAGTCACAGAGTCTAGTGACGTTAAGAGAGTTTATCAGCCACTACTCAGTTACAGAGCAGGGAGTCCTCAGAAAGCAAGAGGAGGAACACACCTGTTTTAAAGAAAATAAATTTTTTTTGAGACAGAGTTTTACTCTTGACACAATGACATGATCTCGGCTCACTACAAACTCTGCTTCCCGGGTTTAAGGATTCTCTTGCCTCAGCTTCGCAAGTAACTGGGATTACAGGTGTGCACAACCATGCCTGGCTAATTTTTTTGCATTTCTTTTCCATTTTGTTATTTTTTGTTTATTCAATTTTTTAAAATTCAGTACCTATACAGACTGCCAAAAATTGCCAATGCCAACTATATTTCCAGTCATCATGGCAAAGTATTGGGAAAAGTTTTCAACTGGCAATAGTTGCGTCTCGGATAAACCTCATTGGATACGATACTGCCACTGTGCAAAGCTATATTTTTGTATTTTTAGTAGAGACTTGGTTTCACATGTTGGTCATGCTGGTGACCAACTCCTGGCCTCAAGTGTTCTGCCCTCTTTGGCCTCACAAAGTGCTGGGATTGCAGGTGAGAGCCACTTTACCTGGCCTTAATATTTATTTATATAGGTTATTAAGAATAGTGTTGTCTCTTATAAAGGCCTCTGATCAGTTTGTGTCAGGCTATCAGTATTGTTACTTTTCTATGCTACTACTGATTTTAACAATAATTTATGAGTGTACCATTATCTTTAAAGTAAAACATTTTTAAATTAAGAATGCTTATTGCTTAAAGTGCTGGTAAATTTTTTTAAGTTTTGGGTTTTTAGTTATTAACTTGTTCTTGCAATCATAAATATTTTATAACCAAAGGTGCTCAACACCTAAATATATAATCCAACAAATTTAACATGTGTTAGTGTAACTGTGTGTGTGTGTGTGTGTGTGTGTGAGACAGGGTCTCACTCTGTCTCCCAGGATTGAGTGCAGTGGTGCGATGATCGTTGGCTCACTGCGGCGTCAAACTCCTGGGCTCAAGCAATCCTCCCGCCTCAGCTTTCTGGGTAACTGGGACCACAGGCAGGCGCCACCACGCCAGCTAATTTTTATATTTTTTGTAGACATGAGGGTCTCACTATTTTCGCAGGCAGGTCTTCAGTTCCTGATCTCAAGTGATCCTCCCACGTTGACGAGCCAGCCTGCTGGCCAAAAGGGGAGGAGTGAAGGCGCCGGGCAGTTGGCAGGTGGAGCCAAAGAAGGAAGACTTCCTTAGTCGGGAATCAAACCTGGGTCAGGCGTGAGAACACTGAATCCTAACCACTAGACCACCAAGGAGCGTCGTCCACCAGACCAGGCTTAGGCCTCCTGACCCCAGCACCTGTGGCCCCAGCACAGAGTGCTACCCTGGTCCTGTCCCCTGCTTGAGTTTAAAACAAACACCCACCCACCGCCCCCACCCACACTGACGCCTAGGCTGAGCCTGAGGCAACCCACCTGTCCCCGCAGCTTTGGTCCTGTTCACCCTCCAAACACTGCCGCCTACTTTCCCAGGCCTCCGCAAAAGGTGCGCCGCTGTGTTGGCCGAGAATCGAACCCGGGTCAACTGCTTGGAAGGCAACTATGCTCACCACTATACCACCAACGCCGCAAGGCACGGTCAGAAATGCCACATTGGCCCGGGGCTCCCACGAGCGAGCGCGCCGCCTAAGCCCGACGCAGCCCAACTGGCCGCTGAGTCTGTCTGTCCCTGCGTCCCTCCGGCCGGCCATCCGCCCGGCGAGCTGCTGCTGCGCTTTGCCACGGCGCCTCCAAAGGACGCCCCGTTCCCCACCGGTGCAAGGCAAGCGCTACTGCTTAGACGGCCAGCCACCCCCCCACCACCACCACCCACCGCCTCGCCTGCCCGCCTGCCTCTGGGGGCGCTCTGACTCCCTCCCCGCCCGGGGCCCGCCAGAGCCCTTTTCCATCAGGTGCCCGGAGGGGCCACGGCCGCTATGGGGCCACAGCCGCCGCGTGCCCAAGGGGTCCTCACTCTGCGTCCCACCGGGTACCGGGCTCTGTGCGAGGCAGGGAGCCTCTTCTGACAGCCACCTTAGGCCTGCCGCTCGTTGGGCGCCATGGGAGCAAGAGGAGGCCGCCACGCTGTGGTAACCAAGCAGCCGGCAAAAAGGAAGTGCAGAAGGCCAAGGGGGCAAATGGGGCCATGGGGACCAAGGGGCCAGGTAGTCCAGGCCCGAGATGACGCCCTGCGGCAAGCTGGAGGGCGGAGGGAGGATAGGGTGGGCAAACAGGCCGGATCCGAGGCAGCTGGCGCAAAAACAACCTTTGCCTCCCCGTCGGGGAATCGAACCCCGGTCTCCCGCGTGACAGGCGGGGATACTCACCACTATACTAACGAGGACGATGGAGGCAGCTGCTCAAATGACAGGCACCACTGCGACCTCTGAAGCGAAGCCCTGACTTGATCCCCTACGAAGATGGACCCCAGGGGCTGGGACGTGCCCGCGAACGACCTGCAACCCACCACCGGTGGCGCGATGTACCCCGACGCCCAGAAAAACACCCTGCGATGACACCCGGATCCGGGAGAACGCCGACAGCTACCCGAGTGATGTGGAACCTCCCGATGCGCCGTGTCTGCTGTCTCCAACGCTGGAAGAGGCGAGGGCGAAACCGCCAGGCCGCTGCACCCAGGACGTGGTGGGCGCGAGCCCTGCGGGGGTCCCGCCGGAGGAGGCGCGGGGGCGGAGACATGCTGGAGCGGCCTGAACAACGACCACCGGTTCCGGGGTTGGAACGCGTGGGCGTCGACCCCAGAGCCAGCCGGATACGTTCATTGGTGCCGGCTCCGCTTGCGCGATCCGTTGGCTGCGCACCAGACGCACCGGGGAAGGGCGAAGGCCTCCACGCAGGCGCGCTCTCAGGATGGCCGAGCGGTCTAAGGCACTGTGTTTAGGTCGCAGTCTCTCCTGGAAGCGTGGGTTCGAATCCCACTCCTGACAAGCGGACCTTTTGGCCCGCCCACCGCCTCGCCTCGGTTCCCGCCTTGAGCAGTGGCCCACGCCCCGAAACTCCAGACCCCTTCAAGCAAGCTTCCGAAGCGCACCTGCTTCTCAGGCACGTCCGTTCTTCCTGCCTGCCCACCCACCAACCGGCAGTCCCAGAAACAGCCCAGGAGTGTGCGCCAGCGCTCCCGACCCTCTACCGATTGCCCTTCCTTCCGGCAGACGCACTCCGCACCCCCTCACGCGCCCTCTTACCTGGCCCAAACACGCCGAGGGACCGCGAACCCCTTCCTGGCTCTTTCCGGCCGGTCTCCTCCGTCGGCCTTCTCCTCATCCGCCCTAACGGACACAGCCCTGACTCTCTCGCCTTCCTCTTTTTCCCTCCTTCCTCCCAGCGCCCAGCGCCCAGCGCCCACCACCCACCGCTCACCGCCCTCGGCCCACCGCCCTGAATCGCCGCTGCGCTGCACAGAGGCGTCCGTAGCGCTCGGCCCGCCCGTTTGCACTCTCCAACTTCTGCCCGCGGAGCAGCGGCGACTCGCTGGTGGAGCCCCGCGCACTTCTGCAGCCAGAGGCCCGCCATCCAATGTCCTGTCCTTGCCTCCAACCCCTCGGCCCCCGCCTGGTCCCTCGACGTGACGTGACCAGAGACTCCCCTTCTGCTCGCCCCATAGGGCCAGCCTCTCGTGGACGCTACAGTGGGACACACGCCCACCGCACGATGTGACCGGCGAAGGGCGGCTGGTGGCCAGCGCCCCTGTGACAGCTACCGTCGGCGCCTTTCACCGGTGCATGGGTGGTTCAGTGGTAGAATTCTCGCCTGCCACGCGGGAGGCCCGGGTTCGATTCCCGGCCCATGCAGTGCGACGTCCCATTTTGGTGCCGCAGCACTAACGTAAACGTATAGCCGTGCTCCCCTCTGCCGCCGGCTTACCCTCCGGGCGCTAGAGCCTGTCCTGCCCGGCCCTGCTCCCACGCGGGATTCCCCTCTGCCCACTCCCCCGCCCCTATCTGGACTAATGCATGAGGCCACCCTGCCCTACCCCGCCTTGGTAACAACACCCCCTACAAACCCAGGAGCGTGCCACACACCAGCCTTTGGCAGCCTCCTGGTCCTGTTTCTCTTCACTGCCCTGCCACCGCCTCTGCCCTACGCATTTCACTTCAAGGAATGCCGCCAGGCAGCCCGAGCTTGTGCCCGCGGGCGCCACCTCTTCTCTTCACTTTTCACCGCGACTACCTCCCTCTTCTCTCTCTCTCTCTCTCCTCTGACTCTGCCTCCATCGCGGGCTCCCCACTTCTAGAAAATCATGCCATGGATGCCCTTCCAGTAGCGAGGAAGTCGAGACTTGGAGGAGAGAAACATCACGTTCCCCTGTTGGAGGGGGAGGGGTCACACAGTTGTAAATGCCACGACACAAGTAAACGCGTGGCATGTGCACAGCATCCATTCACCGTGTTCCAGACACTCCACACTCTCTCTCCTCCTGAGGCTCACGCTGCACCCCCTTGCCATCTCACCTCTCACAGCCTAACCCCTATCCACCACCTGACTCCAGGATCCTGCCTTGCTGCTGTCGCTAGAACCTCTTTTCATCTCAGCCCCGGATACATACAGGCCCAAGATGTGAATGTGCATCCTCAAGGCGGCTTACTAATGTCTGCGGTCCAGGTGCATTGCCTACCTCTTTGGGACCTGAGACATGGCCCCCAGTCGCTCTGTCACGCTGTCTATCTGACCTTTGGCTGCTTGCCACTTCACACCAGCCCCACTCCATACTCTGACCGCCTGGCCCAACGGCATCCCAGTCTCCCCACTTGAGGGTCCTCTTTGACGACACCGACTTTGTTCCTGCCCAGACTAGAGCCCAGAGATACCAACTCGCTGAAAATCTACTCCTTCCAGACTCCAGGCTCAGCCTTCCCTCCCTCAGCTCTATCTCCCCCCACCCCACGCATTCTTACACACACACACACACACACACACACACACACACACACACACCCCGGCACAGCCAACTCTCCCACTGGCTGCCAGTGCCTCTCTCTCACACGCTCACATCCCCAAGTCCTGGTTTCCTTCAGGCTCTTCAGACACACGCCAGCTCCGCCACCACCAGGGATCCCTCAGACCTCACACGCCGCGCGCGATGTGCCGCAGCGCCCCCGACATCGGCACGACCTCCGTCTGACTGGACCGCCCGGTTCCCAGACCGTGGCAGCCAGCCGGTGGACCACCCGGACACCCTGGACTCCTCCTCCCGCCTCCCAGTCCGCGGTCGGCATGCTTCTGTCCTTTCCTTGATGTCAGCCCCTAGTCCCGTGCCGGGGTGGTTGCCAGCAACGGGAACGCACAGCTTTGTCCGTCACTGTCACGCACTGACACACACCCACATCTCGCTGGCGAGCAAGCCCGCCTCCCGTGGGAATACCAAGCCTCTCTCTCCCCGACACGTCTTGTCTCGGCAGGT